CGAGCATTAGGGACTGTTGGTTTCCCTGGGGTTCAGGAAGTGTTCATCTAGTTATTAGAAGCGTGTGATCGTTTGGGGTTGGCTAGTAAAGGAGTACTAGTTGGAAAGGTCTGGTTGTCATCAGATCGATCGTTGGAAGAAAGAAGGATTGAGAATTATCAAATTTCCATGTATTGTGAAGACTTTGTTGAATCTAAGTGGGGGAGAATCGACCCGGAATGCAGAAGCAGGATCGGTTTTGAAAATGGGATAAGTTTCGCATCGTTGTCAAGAAGGAAGACAACCCAAGTGGCTGTTTGGTTTGAGGGTTGTGTGAGTTGGGAGTTCGGTAAAACTCCCTAGCATGTAAATCGCGTCTTCTCGGTGCTTGATAGCAGAATTTGGGGAATCAAGTTGGGATTCTAGCAATGAATTACGTTCAGTTGTGTGTTAGGTCGAGTGTGTGTTCGAACGGTATGGAAAGTGTTGTAAGACTACGGGGGTAGCCATAGCATTCACTAGCGATCAGGTAGTATGGAAAGTGTTGTAAGACTGCGGGGGTAGCCATAGCATTCACTAGTGATCAGGTAGTATGGAAAGTGTTGTAAGACTGCGGGGGTATCCGTAGCATTCACTAGCAGTAGATAGTGCTAGAAGTGGTGTAAGTCTGCGGGTGTAGCCGTAGCATTCACCAGGTTAGCATATAGTGTTAGAGTGATGTAAGTCTGTGGGTGTAGCCGCAACATTCACTAGAATGGTAGATATCATGAGCGTGCTATTAGGACGCGGAAGGGACAGTAGTAACCACCAGTTCGGGTGTAGTAGTGACGATATGGAAATCCATGGATGGGTTTATGGGTTTCCCCAGAAGGATTAGACCTGGCTAAGCCAGTGATAAGACTGTAGGAACGTGACTACAGTTATGAGACCAAGGAAGCAATGGATTGCTTAAGGTTGCTTGTGATGTAGAGCTACCATTGGTTATGTAGCAATCGCTTTTAGCCGTGGATTTGGTAACAACAGGATTCGACGCATGGATCTGATCGGTTGGATCAGGAGGTTGTTAGAGTCGCAGTGTCAAGATAACTAGTGGCAACTAGTTCCTGGGAATGATTTCGTTCGGAAGTCGTGTGAGGCAACTATGTGGGGGTCCTTTAGCTCGGCGACCGGGCTGGAACCCAGTATGTCAGATGATTAGGGAATGAATTGAGACGAGGGAGGTCTCGGTAGATTCTAGAAAGCAGCCATGTGGCAGCATACTGCTTCAGGCAGATCAGTGTTCAGACAGTTTTCGTGTTTAAGGCGGTATTGACAAATTGGGTCTTTAGGTGTATGAGAAGTATCTAGATGTTTGAACCCCCAGATATCAAGAGTTGAATAGTTAGATGAGAGACAAGCGGATTGGGCTCAACAATAATGATTTGGTATGAGAGGTCGGTTAGGGAGCCAAACTATCTCGAGACTTCAGGTTTCGGATCGAGTAAATGTGATCATATTGCAAGGGATTTGTTTATTTTCAAGTTTTAGAACCATGCGAGGGTTGGTTACGGTTGCCTTGGAAAGGCTAGGGTTATGCTCGGGATTGTAGTTCAAGTTGTTTGGCATGTAAGGAATGAGAAGAAACTATTTCGAGGACGAAATCAAATTTAAGTGGGTGAGAGTTGTAACATCCCGTTTAAAATAGAATAATTAAATAATAAACCCGTAACCCCGAGAAGTAATTTTTATTATTACTTTATATTATTATAGCCCAAAATCAAATAATAATTAGCGGGGTGTTAGTTTCGGGAAGCCAAATGGCATGATTTAGAGTTTCATGGGTTAAAGTGTAATTTCGAGACTTATTTTGTATAGATTTTTAGTAGTCAGGGGGCGTTTGGTATCACTTGGACTTAATATAAAAGAAATTATGCAAACAGGGGTTAAAGAGTAAATATCGGACTTAAATTGAAAAGTTTTTGGATTGCTGGAGCAAAAAGGGTAAATTAGGTACCTAAGCTGAGAAGAAATTGTCATGGAGGGGCCATTTGGTAAATATTGGATCAAGTTGAAAGGATTTGAAGGAGTCAGGGTTGAAGTGGTAATTTCTGGATCGAATATGAAAGGAAAAGGAGAAGGAGGGATCGGTTTTGTCATTATGGATCATAATTTTGAAGGGAGCGGGTATAAGACTGTTACATTGCCAAACCCTAACCCGAAATGAGATTCAGTCGTCACCCCACTCCCTCTTCATCCTCCAGCCGCCACTCTTGTCGCTGCCGGAGAGCACCGCAGCGCCAATCGTCAACCACCGAAGCCACCACCGCTAAACTTACTATTGGCGACGACGTTCATCGTTGCTGTTCCATTACCGACGACTATTCCACCGCAGCGCCAATGCCGCCACGAGCAGTCATCGTTTCTGTCGCTACGGTGACCGCTGAAACCCATCTGCCGCCGCTCCTACGTCCATTGAAGACGAAGACCGTCTTGGGGAGGTTAGGGCTGCCGTCGAACGGATGAAACACCTGCTGCTTCGTCGTGGTACGCCGGTACCACGCCCCAGTTCGTCCTCCGCAAGCACCGTCATTCTTCCCTCTATCCTGTGTTGTGGCTACGCCGCCACTGCTGTTGCCGCCAACCTTGCTGCCAGGTGGGTGGCTGGAGTATATTCTGAAATCGGATGTGGGTGTGTATGTTTTGTGTGGCTAGATGACTGGATTTCATAAAAAGGGCCACCACCACCACCGTGAGGTGGTGGCTAGCACCTCCGACCACCACCTGCCGCCAAAGTGCGGCTGTATGTGTATGTCATTTATGAGTATGTGTAGCTTAGTGTGTGTTTGTGTGTGTTTGGATATCGAGTTGTAACATTGTAATCGATTGGAATAGTAAGAAATCTCATAACCACCACCGGCCGCCGTGTTGGGTGGCGGTGTGCCTCGTTTGCGTTTTGGACTCGTTTGGGATGTTTGGACAAGGGGTCTAAAACCCTAATGGGCCTAATGAACCCTAAATGATCAAAAGACCTAGCTATTGGGCCTATTGGTCTAAGATGGGGTTGGAAACCCTAATTAGGGTTTAGAAAAACCCTAATATTGGATTTATGAGCTTGGACTTATCGGGACCCACATTTGGGCCATTGGAATGGAATTGTGTATTAAGCCCAACCACACCATATGATTTATTTAGAATATTGATGGACTTAATGGATTAAGTGAGAAACACTTAACCCTAATTGTCATTTTATGTGAAACCCTAATTTTGGGATTTATCGGGACTGCACGAGAATTAATTATTAAACCTAAAATAATAATTAATAATCATTGGCAAATTAACCTAAGGCAATATTGGACTTAATGGATTAAGTCCTTAATGGGTTAAGTAAGAAACACTTAACCCTAATCGTCATTTCATGTGGGAACCCTAATTTCACTTGGGCCTTGACCTATTGGGTCTTGGTGGTTGGACTATTGATGGGCTATCCAAGAACAAGTAAATGGACCAAAATAATTGGATGAGTTTTAGGGTAAGGCCCATTTGAAGGACTTGGGCCCAATTTGGAAAATTGGGCCATAGTCTGGGCCTTTATGATTATGTGGTATTAGGCCATGGGAACACCAAGAGTTTGGACTAGAATTAATGGATGTGCCTTAAGGAAAGACCATGTACAGGTCTGGGCCAAATTTGGAAAATTGGGCCATATGTTGGGCTTTGGCCTATTACTTGACTATTGGTCCTTTGGAGTATGAGTTGGACCTTGGGCTTAGAACCCAATTATTAACTGGGTATTGTTTGATGTTGGCAGTTCGGGAATCTGTGAACCAGCAGCTGGAGTTGCATCCGCGGGACTTCAGCAGTGCCAGGTGAGTTCTCCTCACTATATCAATAGGGTCTAAGGCACCAATTCCGACCCTTTTTGGATTTGTATCTGGGTTATTGCATGATATGCTTCTTGATTTACATCCTGGTAGTTAGGATGGTGATATGCTTAGTGACCTGGTTAGGTCAGTATCCTGGTATATGGGATGATGCTATGTTAGTGACCGGTTAGGTCTGTATCCTGGTTGTAGGATGTTGCTATGATTAGTGATTTGTTAGATCGGTTTGACTATGATATATTCTAGCGTATGATATTTATGTGCACATGTTTGTTTGATTGGGGGTTGGGTTGAGGCGGTCCTGCTTTGTGTTGAAGGCCAACATACCCAGGGCGGTCCGGATAGACTGAAAACCCTGCAAGGGGGTTCAATCAGGCTGAAGGCCCGGCGAGTGGTCCGGATAGACTGTAGGCCCTGCGAGGATGTCCAGACGTGCCGAAGGCGCGGAGAGCGGTCCAGATAGGCTGAAGGCCTACGAGGCGGTCCAGTCAGGCTGAAGGCTCATTATGCATGATGTTTGCTTATATGTTTATATGATATGGTTATAACTGTATGACATTGTTATTTGGGGGAAAACTCACTAAGCTTCGGGCTTACAGTTGTTGATTTTGTTTCGGGTACTTCTGATGATCGCGGGAAGGCGAATGCGTGATCGTACACCTCCTCATATTTTCATGATTGATTCTGGGGGTACTCTGATGCTTAAACTATTTTGAAAACAAATTGTAATAACTTAATGGTTTTTAAATGTTTTAAAAAGGTTTCAATTGGCTTGAATTTTTATAGGTGTTACACATTTAGTGGGACAGAAAAAGTGCCACTGAAAACCAAAAAAGTGCCACTAAAGACCCCCTCGGCAATTAGCGGCACAAAAAAAATGTCACTAAAAGAGCTGCCACTAAAGACTTTTAGTGACACTTTTTGATTGTGTTGCTGCAACCCTTTTGGGTTTTAGTGGCACTTTTTTTATGCCACTATAACACTTTTTGGTTTTTTTGACATTTTTTATGCTACTATATAGTTGCTATAATTAAAAAAACATTTTTTTTTTTTGGGATCAATTTTTTTACTACAAAACATTTATAGTACAAATTAGGTCCAATTTCTTTTTTAAAATTGAAATGAAACATCAAATAATAAAAGAATAATTAAGATAATGCATGAACAACATAAAACATTACTTAATTAAATCTAACTTGTCTTACAATAATATCCTCAATATTTAAAGCAAAAATAGCTTCCAAAATGCTTAATAAGTCAAAACATTTTGCTAGTAATTACACAAAATAAAAACTATCAAACTAAATACTTGAACCATTGTCTTTTACAACTATCATCCTTCATACGAATCGAATGTACCCATGTTTCTCTGCATCCTTAACTTTAAAATAGTCATCATTTGAATAATTGTCTTCAGCATCCCCTATTACGACCCAGGTCAAACACTTTCTAGATTCACGTATGATATCTTCCAAAAGAGACACATATATAAAAAGAATGACGTAGCTGGAGTATTAACTTGATCTCCTTAGTAATTATATGATGTCGAATCTAAATCAAATGAAAGATAATGAGTAGGGAATGAAAAAGAAATAAAAGAAATGGGAGAACTAAAAAGTGAATGATATATTGACATACCTAAAACAAAAATAAGATTTTACAACAAGAAAAGAAAAAGTACCTCTCTGTGATCTTATTTTGAGCTTTGACTGCATTAGAACAAATAATGGTACTCACCACATTTCCATTAGCTCACCTCATAGGTTGACTCATAGTTGAAGACATCTATCATGAAAAATTAGTCTTAAATTATTGATTAGATAAGAAGGATCGCAAAATGAAGAAGAAAAACTGCAAAGTAATTAGAATATACAAAACAAAAATGAAGAAGAAGCACAAATTGATGCATGTTCTTTAAGCAGATGCTTCACAATCAACAAATCGACTCCAATGTAATTCTTTGTGATTTCTACTGACATCCACCTCAAAATGATGGAAGGTTTCTCTAATTTATGAAAAGTAATCTAATTTGGGCCCAATGGAGTAATTAAATTACAACTGGAATACACAGCATCTAGAGGAAAAAAGAATTTATTCATGGAATTACGACATTTTCTCTTACAGAGATCACAAATTTATCAATTAGAAAGATAATCAAGAAAAAAATGAAATAGATCTAAACTTTGAATAATTACTATCATTATGAGTGGAGAAACTAGTTTTATTGCTAATAAGTACACACGATTAAGGTAATCAGCCTCATAGGAGCATCAACTCCAAGGGCATAATTGTCCAGCCAAGCTATCTTTTTAATATGCTTTTAAACCAAATTCCAGATCACTTCAAATTAACAATATAAACTAAATACACCTCTATGCGCAGGGGATAGACCATCAAGGGCAGAATCGTCCAAATTGAAAAAAACCCTTTAAAAACCAAAGCAACCAAAATGTGGTGACGATTACACCGTAACTTGGTAAAATTCCAAAGCCAAAAACGAAAACGAAAAACTAGATGAGAAAAAAATGACATCTAGAAAAGCGAAGCATCAAATTGAGAACCGGGCAATTCCATAGCAAGAGGGGCATGATCATACATAATAAGAACCAAACAGGAGGATACTTCCATTCCAACTCTAATGAGTTCTAGATTGCATAGAAGAAAAATATTCTCAGATTTATAAAAATCGGAAGAGCAAAGTTGTATTCTTAATAGAAATCATGAGATAGGAGAGGATAGTTTACAGAAATTGAGATATAAGAGATGAGAGTTTATAGAAATTACAGTTTTGAATAAAATCGATTCCGTATACGAATAAGAGCCTCTTGACTAATCGAGCCCTCGTCTTCTACATCCTGGCATTTCTTCTTTCTAGGCGACGATTGGGAAGATCGAACCGGACTCCTAAGAAGCGGCACAACTGATAGGAGATGCTGGAATATTTGGGTCAAATACCCCTCTCCTTCTTGAAGCCCTGGGCTTCCGCCCAATTTGCCCATGTATTTGGCCGCCATCAGCTAGTTCGTGAGCTTTTCTGGTGTGTGACCCGTGGTTTACCCAGGCAATCACAAACTAGGGATTGATCATTAAGAATGGAGAGAAAGGGAAGGCGGACTTTAGAAGAGAAGGTGATCGTTCAAGAGTGGTGTTGGTTAGGGCTCTCAAATGATAAGAGGAATTAGGAAAGTTTTTGGTGTGATGGGGAACTTGCCCAAAATCTAAAACATTGGGCGGAAACATATTTATATTTGGGGGGAATGAAATGCGGCATATGAAAAATTAAAATTTTCACCTATAGTGGCACAAAAAAAATTGTGCCACTAAAGTACATAATATAGTGCCACAATAAATATATGCCACTAAAAATTTGTGCCACTAAATGTAATTTTGTTTGTAGTGAACGCATTAAAACAGTTTAAGCAAAATAGGTAAAATAGTGTTATACCGGTTTGGTTTCTTAAAACGGTCGGATCTTTTGCATAAAAACTCCGTTTTGAACGTTCTTTATATTTTTGGACTCAGGGAAACACGTACTATGAGTCTAGAATAATTGCTTCGCTCAAAAATGCTTATTATGAATATTTAGTTTTTCAGATGCATTAATCGGTGTTGCAGTTTGAGCGGTTTGATTCCGTTGATAGTTTATACATTTGGAAGTAAAGTATCATTTGACATCTTATAATATTTGCAATAAACTCATTTATTTCACACTAGATACACTAAAACTGAATGAGTCAGATTACCACGAGATTCGCGGTGAATTAACTGTCTATAATATTAGTCCTAAATTCCGGGATGTCACAAGATTTTTTCAATTCCGCACATGTCATCATAATCAGGATCACTACAATTGGTATCAGAGCGGATGTTCTTGAAGCTCTGAAGAATTGATCCATGATGACAACATGATTTGAGTGAATCTTCATTGTTGTGAGTTCTTCATCTTTGAGAGAGTTTGTGTTCTAGAAATTAAATTTATTCTTTTATTTGATCCAAAATTCGAGTTTCTCTCTATAGAATACTTGTTTGTTTTACTTTCTCTCTCTAGAACTTGGTTCATATTCACTTTCTCTCTCTAGAATAATCCAAGTTCTTGTAATCATTGTGTATTTGGCATATGATTCTTGGGTCGTGATGATTGAAGATGTCAAATACAGAGTCAATGAGAAACAATTTTATGGGTTATTGTTGAAAGGCGGGTTGATTTCATGGGAAACTTTAATTTCTTATGGAGGCTTGAAAGATGATCATGGAAGATTGATATTTCAACCACTTGGGAATATTGATTGTTTGATTTAAGTTACCATTAATATCTTATCTTGGTTTGAAGATCAAAAAGAAGGAAAAGAAAGAGAATTATCAAAAAAGAAATATGTTTCTCTTATTGAAAACCCAAATGATCTTCATGTTCTTAAGTTTGTTGAATTTCAAGAAATGGGAATTCAATGTGATTTTGATGAAGATGTGAAAATTTTTCATTCAATTGGAGATCAAACTAAAGAATTCTTGAATTCTTGTGATTCGTTAGAAGGAATGGTGCCATATCGAAAGCCTTCAATCCAAGAAGTTCAAATGTATCAAACTCCAAAAGATTTGATTCAAACTTGCAAAGTTGAAGTTGTCAAGAATGAAGTTGTTCTTGAATTCAAATTTCCAAGATCCAAAAAGATGAAAATGAAGAAAAACAAGAAGAAGATCAACAGCAAGAACAAATGGGTTTCTTCACAAAAATCTTCAAAATTTGTTATGAATCCGAAATCTATGAAGCAAATTTGGGTTCCAAAGAAACAATCATTTAGTGTTGCAATGAATTTGAATTCAAAACCCAAAATTGTTGATGGTTCTTATGAAGATGATACTAAATCGTTGAAGAACACGAAGAACGGTTTGTACAACACGAATCATGGGTGGTACAATGTGAAGATAGGAGATTTTCTTATTCCAAAAAAAGAACCAAGATTTTCAATGATTGATTCATGTGTTGCAAACGGAAAAAGAATCGTCAAGAAGGTTTCTCACATTCTCAAATGGATTCCGAAAAATTCATGATTGAGATCGAAGATGAACGATCAAGGTTTTTCTCAAAATCCAAATTCAATCATTTTTTTAAATCCTGCTTTTCGTTTTTGATTGTTGATCATTTTGACTCGTTGGATCTATTTCGTTTCAACCCCATTGATGATCCAATAACTTTTTTTTAGATCAAGCCCAAAATCAAAATCATATTTTCTTTCGATGATCCATAAAACTTCAGTCAAATTCAAAGCCCAAAACTTGTAATATGTTATTGTTCATCATTTTGAGTCCAATACATAGTTCTTTGGATTATTACTGTTCATCAAAGCCCAATTAATAGATTCAATTTCTTTCAATTTGTTTCCAATAACCAATTCGTACCTCATTTATTGAAGTTCATACATAATCACGTTATCAGTTCGTTGATGCTTGAGTATCATCGATTGAACAACCGAAATTATTCTTGGATCTTAAATCGTTCATGAAATATGTTTGATTTATCGATCTCAAAGTTGTTTTTCTGAAAAACATGGAGAGTATTTCTCAAATATGTTCCTCACGGAAGTCAATTATTCAAAATTGATGAAGATGTTGTGAAATTAATTGTTAAAATTGATGATTCCTTGTTTGGAGATTATGATCGAAATCAGTGATTATTGAAATTCGTTGATTGTGATCGATCTATGACCACTGATGAAGAACAGGATGAACGAATTTTGTTGAATCAATTGTTTGTCTTGTAAAATTAGGTCTAGCAATTGATCTTTCGACTAGGTTCGCAAATTATTGGTTGAGTCTCACGGTTGGAATGTCGGTGTCGAATTGGTTGTTATGATTTGAATTTGGTTCGGTGAACATTGAATTCAACAAAGGGGTTAAAGACAAACATGGTCATTTAAAAGTCAAAATTGAAGCTTCGACACTGAGAATTGAACTGGGATCGAAATTGGTTGAATGTAAATGTATGAATTGGTTTGATCGTCTAATGGGAATGCTTTAGAAGTCGAATGGTCCTAATAGAAATCGAAATAAAAAGTCTTTGATTTGGAGTCGAGTTTCGCATCGACTGTGTTTGTGGGTAGTGACATGTTTGGAATTCAATGTGTTTGTGATGTGTTGGAATTCTGGATAGATGTGTTTGGATCGACATCGACTGTGAAGACTAATTTCGACATTTGAGAATGAAAGTTTGGGTTTATGGTTGAATGGTAATTTGGAATGATTTTTTTTTGGATGTCGAAGATACCTTCGCTATGGTTTATTGGAGTCGAGTTTGACATATGTGGTTATTGAAGTTGTTCGCAACATACACTCGCGATTTGGGTTTCGCTTTTGACCGATTGGGTTACTTGATGTCGAACAAGCCTTCGCTGTTGGTTGATTGGTTTGACGGGAAGGCTTCTCTATGGGACAATAGAGGTGATGTCGAACACACCTTCTTCAATTTGAGGCCTTCACTGTATGAGTTCTCCTGGTGACGCATCTGGGTAGCGAAGTGATTGTTTTTCGTGCAAGTTTTTCCACAGTTTCATTTTTGGCACACATCGAGGGGGAGATTTGTTAAGTTTATTCCTCCAACGCTTCTCAACCTTTGTGAGTTTTATAATCACTTGTTGATTATAAAAAGGGGGAGAATGTTAGGGTGAAAAGTTCTCCTTGAATGTGACTTACCCTTTTATGATGTGGAATGGGTTGGGTCTTTCAAATAAATAGGAAGTGAGGCTCTGTTTGTTTGGCTTTTAATGCCTCTTAAAAAGAGATACATCTGAATCTTTAAGGTTCAGACCGTTTGGTTAACACTTAATTTTGCCTCTTAATTGTAAAAAAATATCTGACCGAATCAGATGGAAGCCCACATCTGAAAACAAAAAAAAAATCACGCGTTACTTTTTTTCCAATCCCTACCCTCGCCATCATCTTCTTCCCTTTGCAGCAACACCCACCTCCATCTCTCCTATCCTTGCATCCCGTCGGACGTCACAGAGGACCACCGTTGTCGTCGAACGCACTAACTCCAACACACGCATCACCGCCTTCGCAGGCCACCGTTTGCCCAAACACGTGAGGGGTTTTCTTTTTTCTACTCATCGACACAACCCCTTCTCCTCATCCTTTCTCCCTCTCCGGTCTTTAATAAATCGTCTGCCTCCTCCGATCTAAAACGTCACCGCCGCCGGATTCGCCGCCCCGACTCCGCCACCAGATGCAACGACATCGACATCGACCTCAATCTACTCTCTCTTCTGGTTGCAGGTATCGAGTTTTTCTTATTTTTTGCCTTGCCCTAGAACTCGATTACCAATGTGAATTGTTCATCTAATCAACAGCAGCAACGATTCACAACAGCAACGACTCTATTTAGCGATTTCAGATTTTTTTAGTTCAATGATTTCTGCAATTTTTTGACCTCTGCGCTTTTTAAGTGGTGATGGCTTAACCTCTGCGTTTTTTCTTCTTTGTTGTTTAATGCACATAATGATCATTGTGTATATGTTTTATTATTGGTCATCTTTTATTATAGATGTTGAATCTACGTATATAAGGTAATGTTGCGAGTACACCAGAGCTGTGTAGATGTTGTAAATTTGTTAGACCAATTGCAAGACAAAAGCTTGTTGGATCCAACTACTTACAGGAAACTTCAAAAGAAGAAGATGCAGGAAACTTTATTAATAGAACCGTGGCATGGCATGGGTAATTTAAGAACTTGTTGTATGTAATTTTAATAGTATAACAACTAGCAAGTTTTCTTTATTCTCTTGTTTTACCAAAATTTGATTTCCAAATGTCTTGATGTTGTTATCTTTTGTAGAAAAAACTATTGCGTTTGAATGTAGGAAACGATGTAAAAATTATATAGAAGGGTAAAATTGTCATTTTATCATTCAGCACGAAAATTCAGATGTTCCAACCAAACAGCATGTTAAAAATTCAGATCTTAGAAATTCAGACCCTCTTAGAAATTCAGACCTCTTAAAAATTCAGCTCTTAAAAATTCAGATGCTGCCAAACAGCCCCTGAGTGACTCCCATTTAGGTAAGAACTTGTAAGACCCATTTGAGTGTTAGTTTAGTGAGAGAAATATCAACAAGTACAATGTTATAATAGAAGGAAAGTGTGATCATATTTTGTATTCGAACTTCCTACCTTCTAGCCTTCGTCTCTTCTTCTTATACTGATAAAATAAAATATGCAA